TATGTAAGGGATGCAGTGTGTGTGTCTGTAAGGGGTGCGTTGAGTGTGTGTAGGAGATGCATTGTGTTTCTGTGTGTGTGTAAGAGAAGCAGTGTGTGTTTGCATGTGTGTAAGGGATGCATTGTGTGTTTCTGTGTATATGTGCAAAGGATGCATTGTCTTTATGTGTAAGGGTTGCATTGTGTGTTTCTCTGTGTGTAAGGGAAGCATGTTGTGTTTGTGTGTGTATAGGGATGCATTGTGTGTGTGTGTGTGCGCGTGGTGTGAAAGAGCTCCCTGTCCCCCTGTCCTATAGAGCTCTCCCTTCCATTCCTTAGAGATCTCCCCTGCCCCTTAGTGGTCTCTCCTCTCCCCCCCACCTCCCTTAGTGGTCTCCTTTTCTCCCCGACTTTCCATTAGTGGTCTCTCCTCTCCCCCCACCCTCCCCTAGTGGTCTATCCTCCACCGCCCCTCCCTCCTTTAGTGGTCTCTCCCTCCCCTACGTTCTCATCTCCCACCCCTCCACCCCTTGTGTTCTCCTCTTATTCCCCCCCTCCCTGTGTTTTCCTCTTATTCCCCCCTCCCTGTGTTCTCCTCTTCTTCTCCCCCTGTAATCTTCTCTTCTTCTCCCCCCTCCCTGTAATCTTCTCCCCTCCCCCTTGTAATCTTCTCCCCCCTTCCCTCCCTGTAATCGCTGCTTCTCCCCCCGTAATCTTCTGCTTCTTCTCCCCCTAATCTTCTCCACTCCCTTCCATCATCCTCCCCCTCCATCATCATCTCCCCACCTCCCTCTCCCCTCCATCGATCATCTCCCCATCAAGAACTCCTCCCCCCCCTCTCATTAAAATCATCTCCCCTCCCTCATCAATCTCCCCCCATCAAATCATCCTCCCCTCCATCGTTTCCCCCCCCTCCTCCCATCCCAATCTTCCCTCCTCCCATCAAGATCATCTCCCCATCAATCATCTCCCATCCCTCCCTCCCATCAAGGCATCTCCCCTCCCTCTCCATCAAATCAATCTCCCCTCATCAAATCATCCTCCCCCCTCCATCTCCCCCATCAATCATCTCCTCCCTCCATCAATCTCCCCATCAAATCATCTCCCCCCCCTCCATCAATCTTCCCCTCCCTCCCATCAAATCATCTCCCCTCCATCAAATCATCTCCCCCCTCCCTCCCATCAATCTCCCCATCATCTCCCCATCAAATCATCTCCCCCTCCCTCCATCAATCTCCCCCTCCCTTCCATCAATCTTCCCCCTCCCAATCATCTCCCTCCCATCATCTTCTCCTCACCTCAACCCCCCTGCCCTGCTGTAGCGTGGCCCAGCTCCTATCCGGTCCGTGACCCGGCGGGACTGACAGGAAGTGCACACTCAGTGTGCACTTCCTGTCAGTCCCGCTGGGTCACGGACCGGAAAGGAGCTCGGCCACGCTACAGCAGGGCAGGGGAGGTGAGGCACTGTGGCAGCCGCCTGAGCGCTCTCTATAGAGTGCTCAGGCGGCTGCAGAATTTAAAGGGCCGGCGATGGGGGCGCAGGGCGCCCCCTCCTATATGGCGCCCTAGGTGGCTGCCTAGTTCGCCTTATAGGAAGCGCCGGCCCTGCCTGGGCCATAAGCTGGACAGTAAACTCCCCCAAAGCGAAGCATTCTACGTTGTGCATCTATTATTTGCAAAGTCTATATTGGCTGGAGGGAGCAACGAGGATTGCTACATGAGACTTCCCTGGACTCAATAAGTGGCATGAGCAGGTGGCTCCTTATGCTCTGAACAAAGCCTGGGTCTATGTTAATGGGGATCTGCTTGACTTGATCTGCTTGAGATTTAGACTGCTATCAGTGCATTGACTTTGATTCTTTAATTTCCTGCAATTATGTTTCCTTTTTGTTCCAGGTTATATGCTTGGCCCCTAACTATTACGTATGTGGTTAAGTCTCATCTATTTTATACATTCTTAAAAGTGCACAAGCACATTCAACTGTTATTATGCCATTTTCATAACATGTATAAAAGCTGATGCTATACTGTTTAATACATTAAAATCGTGTTAGCACTATTTGTAAGAGAAACCCTCAAAGGTAAGAAAGGGCGCTCCACATGTATTCTTAAGAAGAAATAATATATTCATAACCATATATGTAACACAATGTCTATAGTTACCAATAAACCTTACTCCTGTTCATGGTATATATTGGCAATGTTTAAAATCTTCTAAGAAAAAAATGTGCATTTAAATGTACCAGAGTTCTTTGGTATTGTGGGGGTAATTGCAGTTACAGGGGTAAAATCCGCTGGCTTAAACCACAGTAGTTTGTAGCATCCAGATGGTGCCTTTAAAAAGATGCAAGAGAAATTTACCACCGCGCAAAAGAGCTACTAGTCGGGCAAAATCGACTAGACTTTGGAAAAGGGCAAAAGCCTAGTTGAACTCTGAATCCGAGCTCAGTGATATTGAGGAGGAGTTCCCCAAGTTCTATATGGAGGTGTACCTGTACTCACACCTGCTCTGCTTCAGCCTGGCTGCAAGGCCTCATATAAGGCTAAACACTCCTCCAAAACAATAGAGATGGACAGTACCATACCTGTCATGGATGGCGCGATTAATTTACCACCGCGCAAAAGAGCTACTAGTCGGGCAAAATCGACTAGACTTTGGAAAAGGGCAAAAGCCCAATTGAACTCTAAATCTGAGTTCAGGGATATGGAGGAGGAGTTCCCTGAGTATTATATGGGGGTGTATCTGTACTCACACCTGCTCTGCTTCAGCCTGGCCGCAAGGCTTCATATAAGGCTAAACACTCCTCCAAAACAATAGAGATGGACAGTTCCATACCTGTCATGGATGGCGTGATTAATTTACCACCGCGCAAAAGAGCTACTAGTCGGGCAAAATCGACTATATTTTGGAAAAGGGCAAAAGCCCAACTGAACTCTGAATCTGAGCTCAGTGATATTGAGGAGGAGTTCCCTGAGTCCTATATGGAGGATTCAGAGGATATTTCTGATCCTGATTATGAAATTACTGATGAAGAGGATGCTAATCCCGTTTGGGATACACGTCCTGTTAAACCTACCAAGATTTAGGTAGATTATGCGGACCCAGGGACACCGATAGGATCTTGGACACTCAATGTGAACCCCTATTCGAACCTGACAACCTATGTCACCCAGTGGTCTCCTCAGACCATGTAGCCAAGTATATTGCATCCAGAGTACGCAAGCCTTTTGAGAAGGCAAAGTGAAATAAATTGTGGGCTGAATGGCCACACCAAACAGTCCCGTATGACTCATCTAAAACGCTATCAGTCGATCTTAAGATCATTCAATTCCTGAGTAAGACAGGATCGAAGCCATCTAAAGGCTTAGATTTTCATTGCAAAACTGTCGGGATAAAATCTTGGGCATCTTGGGCTCAGTAGCCAAGATCTTTGAAGCAGTAGAGGATAATCTAGAATTAGATTGCACCATTTTAAGTGGTTAGATCCAGAGAGTGATTTAAGTTGGCAACGCCAACAATGCGGTTGTCACAGAACGCCACACATCGATCTTGTTCAAGATTGAGCCCAAACTTTTAACTATGGCTCTGAACGAGCCAGATAACACAGGCAACAGGTTTTCTCTTTGGGGACAACTTTGTAAAAGAATTTGGCTCCTTTGTCTGGCTAAACAAACAGAAGTTCTTTTCGACAGAACCAAGGCTCTTATACTTAGGCTCTAATACTTGCCAAGTCAATTTCTTTGAACAATGCACTATACCAACCTCCTTCCCACAAAGTGGTCGACCCTGGGTTGTTAGTGGCCTAAGAGGTGCTCCTAAGAAGTCTTCACAATTTCCATTCTTCCTTACTGATAGTGGGGGGCAGGCTCACACATTTTTCCCATGTATGATCCCTCATTTCATCAGATGCTTAAGTTCTTCACACTGTGAAAGGGTTTTGCATAGACTTCCTTTCTCTACCTGTTCAATGTTCCCCATCAAGGGAAATAGTTTTTTCCCAATGAGATGCAGACCTTGTCTCCGTTGACAATCAGTCGTAGAGATTCCGGCCCATACCCTGGGTTACGCGAGCAACCTTTTCGTTTCCCAAAAAAGGCAAAGGTATCCGTCCAGTGATAAATTTGAGACCGTTCAATACTGTCTTCGGCTCCATGGTGCTTCAACAAGCTCACGTCATATAATATATTTAGACGGCATTTTCATTCTGGCTCAGTCTATTCAATTAATCCGGACATTCCTTGCATGGACTTTGACTCTGTTAGAGAACCTAGGCTTGCTGATCAATTGGGAGAAATCCATTATCGTTCCCACGCAACAAATCAAATTTCTGGGTTATATTGGATTATTGTAGATTCTACCCTTCAAACTCTACACCTTCCGGTGGCAAAATTAGCCAATATCAAGAAGGAGATAGGCGAACAATAGCAACCTCTCAACTCTCTCTCAAACAACTGTTGAGAATGTTAGGCCTTCTAGCGGCATCTATACAGGCCATTTTTCCAGGTCTTCTTGGCTATTGAGCCCTACAAAGGGCAGCGCATCATACACAGATATGGTAACTTTGGACTCAGAAGTGGAGGATGAACTCCAATGGTGGCTTCTTCACATGGAAGCTTGGAATAAGCGCACCATATTTTGTACAGCTCCAGATTTGATAATCAAATCCGACGCAAGTTTGCACGGTTGGGGTGCTCAATGCGGAACTATTTCCACCAAGGGCAGATAATCAAACCTGGAATTGACACTCCGCATCAATTGTTTGGAACATCTGGCCGGTTTCTTTGCAGTCCACAGTTTCTCCCCAACTCAAGCCCAATGCGCTATCCTTCTGAAGATGGACAACGTGTCAGCAGTCCGCTACATCAATCACTTGGAGGCACAAGATTCTGACCTACATGCCTCGTGATTGCTGGCAATTTTGCCTGAGACACGACATTTCAGTCACGGCAGAATATATTCAAGATCTCTCCAACACTACGGCGGACTGGTATTCACGCCAACTCAGGGATTCCAGCGACTGGCACTTGGATTCCATGGTCTTCCAAGACATCTGGAACCTATGGGGTCTATTGGAAATAGATCTTTTCACTTCTCGTTTGAATGCTCAACTTTTATGTCTGTCCTCCATTTTTCTGACTTCTATGATGAAGGTAAAGACTATCGCACTGTGGACCTTACCGATAGTCCATTTCTGCTGGCCATCAAATTTTCGATTGGACGCCTGTCGGTTGACATCCTGTCATATATTGACTTCTCTGTGGAATATGGTTTGCTCATCCAACCTTACCACGATACTCTGTCTTGTGGGACGTCTCTATTGTCTTGAATTTTTTTCTTGCAAGAGGTTTTTCTGACGTACGAGCTCTTGAGGTGGTTGCTCATTCCTTTACTCCAGAAGGTGTCCTCTTTGACATTTCACGGAGGACAAAAACCTACTCTAAAATCAATTTTATCCAGGTTTCCCTGACAGGTTTCCCTCTCCTTTGCCCTGTTGCATACTAATCGGTGTCTGAACATTGTTCCACTACGTTACGGAATCCTTTGAAACAGGAACTCTTCATCTCCTTCCAAAAGTCGCGTCTTCTGGTGTCTACTCTAGCTTGGTGGGTCAAATACGTTATGTGTCTAGCAGGTATTGATACCTATGTGTCTGTGCCTCATTCGGTTCATGGGGCAATGGCTTCTAAGGCTTCCTCAATTGGTTGTCGCTTGGAGGATATTATGAGAGCGGCTGGTCTTCGGAGTCTACATTTCATGATTTCTACTTTAGACCTATTCAACACTTCACAGGAGACATCATTTCACAGCTTTGAACTAGCATAATAGGAGCCTCCGTGTCTTAAAAAATGTTACAGATTTTACTATTAACATGAGGTAAGGTCATAGTTACATAGTTACATAGTTACATAGTTACATAGCTGAAAAGAGACTTGCGTCCATCAAGTTCAGCCTACCTCACATTTGTTTTTTGCTGTTGATCCAAAAGAAGGCAAAAAAAAACAGTTTGAAGCACAATTTTGCAACAAGCTAGGAACAAAATTCCTTTTTGACCCCAGAATGGCAGTCAGATTTATCCTTGGATCAAGCAGTTATTACCCTACATTGAAAGATTATATCCTTGAATATTCTGTTCTTGCAAGTATGCATCTAGTAGCTGTTTGAACATCTGTATGGACTCTGATAAAACCACTTCTTCAGGCAGAGAATTCCACATCCTGATTGTTCTTACAGTAAAAAAACCTTTCCTTTGCCTTAGACGAAATCTTCTTTCTTCCAGTCTAAACGCATGGCCTCGTGTCCTATGTAAAGTCTGGTTTGTAAATAGATTTCCACACAATGGTTTGTATTGGCCCCGAATATATTTGTATAATGTTATCATATCCCCTCTCAGGCGACGTTTTTCTAAACTAAATAGGTTTAAATTTGTTAACCTTTCTTCATAGCTGATATGTTCCATTCCTTTTATTAATTTTGTAGCCCGCCTCTGCACTTTTTCTAGTGCCATAATATCCTTCTTTAGAACAGGTGCCCAAAATTGCACAGCATATTCAATATGGGGTCTTACCAGTGATTTATAAAGAGGCAAAATTATATTCTTGTCCCGAGAATGAATGCCCTTTTTCATGCATGACAATACCTTACTGGCCTTGGCCACTGCTGATTGACATTGCACATTGTTGCATAGTTTGTTGTCTATAACAATTCCCAAGTCATTTTCATGTGTTGTTATCCCTAATTCGCTTCCATTAAGGGTATACGTTGCTTGTGTATTCTTTACGCCGAAGTGCATAACTTTGCATTTTTCAACATTAAATTTCATCTGCCATTTGAGTGCCCAGTCCCCAGTCTATCTAAATCCCTCTGCAGCAAAGTAATATCTTGCTCACATTGTATTGTTTTACAAAGTTTGGTGTCATCTGCAAACACTGAAACATGACTTTCAATGCTGTCTTCAAGATCATTTATAAACATGTTAAATAGAAGGGGTCCCAGAACAGACCCCTCTGTTGCCACCTCTGTCCAGCTTGAAAATTTACCATTAATGACAACTTATGATTTTATTAATGACACAGAGGCGAGTATTATCCCTCCCTCCCATCCCTGGAGATTTGGTCTTCTCTGGGTAAGTTCACTTCACGGTAAGTCTTTTTTGATTACTGGGTTTTATCCTTGTTAATAACTGTCAAGAGCTTAAGGTTTGACTAAACTGAACTTCATGTTATGTATATATATCTGATATTCCATGTAATGTGAATTTATGCATAAATCCAGTTTTATACTTGGATATTACCATATTCTCCTTTCTCTTCCAGCTTGACTTCGAGATCCAATTTAAGGCTCGTATACCCTCTAATTGGAGCCCACTTTTTATTTGGATTTGTTGTCCTTGTTCGGGATCGCAAGAAAGAGGAAGTAGTATACTGGATACTGCCTATTATGCTATAAAGAGGATGCTGATTGGCTGTTCCTGTTGCTAGGAAGATATACCTCATGTTATTTACTGGTTTCTTTTATACTGATTTAATGTTATTTTTCTTTGCTGCTAAGTTAAATAAAGAAAGAGTGCAGCATAATATTCGCCTCCGTGACATTAATAAAATCATGACCTTATGTCATGTTAATAGTGATGTCGCGAACCCGAAATTTTCGGTTCGCGAACGGCGAACGCGAACTTCCGCAAATGTTCGCGAACCGGCGAACCGCCCGAAACGCCATTGACTTCAATGGGGAGGCGAATTTTAAAACACACAGGGACTCTTTCTGGCCACAATAGGGATGGAAAAGTTGTTTCAAGGGGACTAACACCTGACTGTGGCATGCCGGAGGGGGATCCATGGCAAAACTCCCATGGAAAATTACACAGTTGATACAGAGTCTGGTTTTAATCCATAAAGGGCAGAAATCACCTAACATTCCTAAATCACAATCAATATGGATTGACACCTGACATATGACATATTGACACCTTGACATATGGATTGACACCTGTCCTCAGAGCCCCTGATGCACACGGACACAGAGCAGAATAGAGACTGGTCCCCTACATAGGGTCACTTGGCAGATATGGATTGACACCTGTCCTAAGGATCCCTGATACACACTGACACAGAGCAGAATAGGGACTGTTCCCCCTACATCGGGTCACTTGGCAGATATGGATTGACACCTGTCCTAAGGTTCCCTGATACACACTGACACAGAGCAGAATAGGGACTGGTCCCCCTACATCGGGTCACTTTGGCAGATATGGATTGACACCTTGTTACAAACTGCTATTTGTAACGGGCCCTTTAAATGGCAAATTGCCCTGCTTCCCTGGGTTGTGGAGAAGCCTATTTGCCAGCCTCCTCCCGCATGACTATGGCCCTGGGAGATTGTGAAAATGTATGCACTTTTATTTGGTGTGTATGGCCCTTTAAGACTGTCGGTGGGCATATTGGGGCTTATGG